AGTTGATGTGTCGGTGCTTCTGTGGAAGGACATTAGTTTGTGTCTAATTTTTCTCCATCGCACAAAGCACTGAAGCCACCAACCTTGGGAATCTCTTGGGCACAGGAGGGGGCGTTTCTCGCAGACCTGTGAATTCCTGTGGCTTCCTTCTTTTATCTGGAATGACAGGCTGGACCAGCTGGAGTTGCGTGCCTCTCGAAGAGGTCTGCACACTAAAGATGCTTAAAAACCAGAGCAAATCAACTCCTGTCTAATAAATAGAAAATAATGTCTGGAGAGCCCAGTCTGCTCGGACAGCCCCACACCCAGCCAGGGAGCCGTCCCCCGAGTGCTCACCGAGAGGCTGGGACTCGTTTCTGCAGGAGCTCCTTGTGGCAGGAGGGGATCCGGAGGCCCCTCTGCTCCACGGTGTCTCCAGAGGCAGGTGTGGTGCCGGCTCTTGCAGGCAGCCAGGTGGGACGAAATTGAAGCCAAACTGGTGCCAAGATGACCTGACTCTGTTTCAAGCCATGTGACTTGCTCCAAAACTCAAAGTTTGGTCACTAAAGACAAATGCAAGGGGGAAAAGAAGACAAACGCTAATCCAGGAAATAACTCCACAGACCTTTGGCCCCTGCGGTTGTCTCAGCAAGTGCAGAAGCTTCCTCAGTACTTGGAAGCAGAACCGAACTCCTGTGAACCTGGACTTTGAGCCCTAGAGCAGCAAGGAGAGTTGACAGGCACCACAGTCACCCAGAGTGTGCACAGGCCTGCGTGGGGCTCGCCACAGGGCCAGACCCCACGCACAGGCTCCCCCTCAGCCCCTTGCCCAGGGAGAGGACCTGGAGAGGGGTGAGGACGGGCAAAGGGCCCAGAGGGGGCCACTGGACGAGGGCGAAGGGGAAGGCAGCCCAGGGCAGCTGCCTCGCTGCTGTTTCGAATCCCGTTCCTGATCCTTCCGGGGAACGAGTGATCGATGCTTGTGAACCGGGGTGTTTGAAATTGTGTCCCCTCGAAAGATATGCTGAAGTCCTAACCCCGGTACCTGCGAGTGCGGCCTTATTTGGGACCAGGTCTTTGCCGCTGTCACCAAGTGGAGGTCATCAGGGTGGGCCCCCGGCCAGTGACCGGTGTCCTACTTAGAAGAGGAGAAGGGACAGGTGTGCGGGCAGAGCACGTGGTGACAGAGGCCGAGGCCGGGAGACGTGACCACAGCCCAGGAGCGTCAAGGGCTGGCGCCAACACCAGGCGCCCAGAGGAAGGCATGGAACAGACCCTCCATCCGCAAGCAGCGCGGCCCTGCTGACTTCTGACCTCTGGAACTGTGAGTCAGTAAATCGCTGCTGTTTTGAGCCACCCAGTTTGTGGCAGTTTATTACAGCAGCCACAGGAAAGGAATGTGCTGGGCAAAGGGGACTTGGAAACTGGCCCACTTCCTGGAGTGCCCACCATCCCCGGGGAGGTGCTGTCCACCGGCACTGGAAGGCTTCCCCGCCGGCAGATGCCTGCATCACCGGGGTTTGACTCTCGAACCACACTGATCTACCCTGCGTCAGTATCAGCTATGTAATCTGTGGGGCTCAGTGCAAAATGGAAATACCGGGTATTTGTTAAAAAAAAAGTATTCAGAATTTCAAGGCAGCAAGGGCAGAACAATAAACCAAGCACCAGGCCCTGGGCATAGTCGCACCCCACGAATCCAGCCGGCTCTGCGTGGCTGAGGGGTCCCCAGGCCCCCGCATCTGTCAGGGTGCAGCTAAGGGTGCAGGACGGTTTCCTTCAGCGGTGACGAAAATGCCCGGAGGTTGACGGTGGTGATGTTTGCACATGTGTGCATACACGCAAAGCCACCGTAAATGGGAGAATTGTACGGCGTGTGAATTATATAATATCTCAATGAAGTTGTTTAATAAAAAACGATCTCAGAGCTGCCGCCAGCCCATCCTGCCCCCACCTCAGAGCCCCCCCGCCAGGAGGCAGAGTGGGGAGAGGAGGTTCCTGTGCTGACCCGGCTGCCCTGAGGCCAGCGCTGGCTGTCCAATGTCGGGGACACCCCCCCCTTCCTTCCCATTCGTTTTTACCCTGGGCTGGGCCTCCTTCCCAGCCGGGCCCTGACCGTCCAGCGCCCCACCCCAGGCCGCGCCCCTCTTGCCCTGGCGGTGCAGAGCAGGGGCCTGTGTTCCGGTGAGCCCCAAGGCCTCCTCCTCCCAGAACCCCAGTTCCCCGCAGCTGACCCTGTGGCACCCCAGGGATGCCTTTGGCTCGTGCAGAGGTGTCTGGGGTCCCCCTCACAGCCTCTGAGATGACAACTGCTAGTGCAGCTGCCTCCACCGCGCAAGCACAGAGACGCAGGGTCAACCTCGGCACAGGACATCAGTCCACGCGGCAAAGGAGCAAACGCGGCACTCACGCGATCTCTCTCCCCCAGTTCCTGGCAAAATGAACCCCAAATTACTTTCTTTTTAAATTTTAGCATATTATGGGGGTACGGATGTTTAGGTTACGTATGTTGCCCTTGCCCCCCCCAAACCAAATTACTTTTTTAAAGTTTTTTGGTTTTTGTTTTTTTTAAATAAAGCTGTAGTCACAAAATTAGGAAAGGAAAGCAACTTTCTGCCACAAACTTTGAAAACTGGCAGACAAGCCCTGAGTCCCACGGGGAGGTGCCAAGGGGCACAGCCCACAGGGCAGGTGGAGGGGAGAGGGGCCTGGGGT